CCTAGTCGCAAAATTTGGGTTGGCAAGATGGTGTCTGTAGGATAACTAAAACTTGCCCATACATAATTAGAATTAGTATCTGAAAGCACAAAGTTACCCGTGTCGAGCATCATACCATATGATGCAGTGGTGTTAGGTTGTGCCGTCCATATTGTTTGGCCATTGGGATCATTTAGTGTGTGGCCATTGGCAGTGAGCTCAACCTTTGAACCTGCTTGCAGTGCATTAGTTGTGTTTGTGTGCTAGACGATGGTTTTGTCGGGTATGTTGGCATACCATATCGCAAGCAAGAAGGTGTTTGTGTTGTTGAGTTGGTAGAATCCGAAAGCAAAATCCCCAGATGGTGAAATCCATGAAGAGTTGTCACCATTGGTGGACAGTGATGAGCTCGGAGTTATGTTGGAAGCAGAAAAAATAGGTAGAAAAGGCAAAAGAGAGAGGAGGAGGAGGAAGAGTAGAGAGATAGGAGAAGAAGCCATTGAAGATAGTGCTCTGCAAACAAGGTGTGTTACAACATAAAGTTTGTTTTGTAATGCTTTAGTCAATTTGGCTAATTTCATAGTATTGAGTCAACCACATTTAATTTGTACAAATAGGAAATAATTATCAAATATTATATATAAATTTCATTCAGAATGATCTGTTGATAATATTTTATTTTGTATAGGCTACCTTCCTGTGATTGTTCTTTATTGGTGTGATTGTTCTTAAGACGCGCTTTTGGACTCTTTTTTTTTTGAACTCTTTTTTGGACTTTGGGAGCAATAAAGATGCAAGTTCTTTCAATATTTTTTAATTACTGCTTTACCCTTTGTCATTGTATGTTTTTTAATTTCAATTTTAAAATGTTATAACTTAAGTTCTAAACATCTGTTTTTCATAAAATTTATATTTTCAAATTTGTCTTTTTGAGATTTTTCAAATAAGAGCTACACTGAATACGAAATTCCAGAAGAAAAAAAAAAATTGAAAATTTCAAGGCTCGCGTAACAGTTAAATCTAATTGTTTGGGATGACTCTTTTAAATCCTAATTTTAATTCCATTGATCAGTATAATTTCACACTATTTAATACTTTCATACTGTTAAACTTTACTTGGGGATTAAATAAGCATTTTCTAATGTGAAAATGATGATTTTGAGCTATTTTAAGAAGATGGTTATAATAAGTTTTTTGGTTAAAAGCTGATTAAAAGCTATATATGATTAACTTTTTGTGAGAAGGAGAAGTAAGTTATAATCAAAAGACCCCTTTATCTATACTATCTGTCTATATTATTATCAAAGGTGAACATCTCACTTGGTTTTCATGGGTTCAATCTCTCCCCAAGTGACCTTTTCTTTTTGTGTCAAGTGTTAAATTCTCCAAAAATAAAAATAAAAAATAATAATTAAAAGAAAGACACAAGACTTGAACCTAATACTATTTACTTAACTTACTAAAGAACACTTTTATCACTTAAATAACATAAAAAATATGTTATAAATTCAAAATTAAAATTTATATTTTAAGCACACTCATCGGGTGGGATCATGCCCTAATAGATAGTTAAATTAACTTATTGTTTTATTGTTATATTAAGTTTCTTTTTTAATCTCGTAGGTTGGGATTAAATGTGTAATTTTAGTGTGGAAATAGTGATTAAAATGAATAATTAATATCTAGTTTGATTTAATTATTTGTTTAACATAATGTCTCATCATCCTTTTAATTGTATTAATTATGACCAAAGCAACTGAATTTGTAATTACATATCATATGTTTTTTGGGGTTGTGTATTGTGGTAATTTCCCTTCGTCTAAAAAGTCAAATGAGTTGTCACAGTTGAAGTAAAAATTAAGTTTATACTAATGGGGAATTATATGTAGGCAGGGAAGGGAAAAAAAATTATCAACATATCCCACAATGTTTCATTTATACTCATCATAGACACACTTACGTCCCAATGTATTTGTAATTATTTTTTTTTTTCTCCCACCTACATATAGTTCTTCCTATAATATTGAGAGGAAGTTACTTATATGTGGAAGTACCAAAAAATTATTACAAAATTATGAAAATATTTATAATTTTAATTATTAATGTGTATAAAATTTATTATTATTTTTATAATTTTTTTAAAAGTCTTATATTGAAAATTGAAAATTTATTAATTTGTACAGTAGTTTTCTTATGAGATGCGACAATCTCGGCCACTAAGGTCCCGTTTGTTTTCAGAGATAGAATGAAGGTGATTGATAGTGAGGGAATTAATAGATGAGATTAATAGTGAAGGGATTGTTAGTGGCGGAATTGATAGTGAGGGAATTAAATAAAATTATGTTTGTTTTGATGATAGTTATTGGTGTAAGAATTGTTACATTATTTTTATATAAAATAATAAAACAAATAAAAAAAATTAAACATTAATATTTAAAAAAAATTCCCAATATAGAAAAAAAAATAATAAAAAAATTTCTAATCCCCTCACTATTTTTCTAATATCATCTCTACCTCCTCACTATGAATCCTCCTTCTAAGGGTATTAATAATACCAAGGTATTAGTAGTCCCAAGGTCATCTCTCAAAACAAAGTATTAGTAATACTAAGATATTGATAGTCCCAATCTTTTTTTTTATAACCTTAAACAAACAGGGCCTAAGATTCTTATAAAGAAGCAGGTGTCGTGCACAATTTGAACGCGGATAATAAAAGTAGGTGTTGCTGTTGGTTATCACTTTCTCTTTCCTCTTATGCTAGTCTAAATTTTTGACCTATTATTATTTTTGAATATGAATCTTTGGATTGTTTGGTATGATCTAAATAAATATATTTTTTAATTTTTTATAAAAATAAATAAATAAATGATATAACTTAAAAAAATAAAAAAATATACTTTTTTAGTACACCCTAAACAAGCTCTTAATATCAACTCTTCTCGCATGTCTAACCTTTGAAACTTTTGAAATCTCCATTCCATATCTGTTTGTTAGCAGATATGGAAGGTAAGTTGTTAGCAGATATGGAAAGTAAGATTAGATTAATAGTGTGTGAGTAATTTTCTGACCACACTGCCCGTTTAGTAATCAGCTAGAGAGTACTGGCAGAATAGATGGCTTCAGTTAACCTGTAACAGAAAGAAAAGGCTTTGGCGGTGGCTCTTCCACCCAGGGGCACTCCGACGATCAAGTCAGTATATCTCTTAAAGATAATTAAGTGCTAAACTCACTGCGCAAAGCATAAATTGCGTAGCTTAGACCCACAGGGGTGCCTCTCTTTTATAGTTTGTTTAATCCTAGTCCCACTAGAAGCCTCACTTCTATGGACTCCAATTCAGTACTTACTTTGGACTCCTTAAGAGATAAAGATAAACTCTCTAAGAGCTTTATCCTTATCTTGGCTAAATCTCTTCTTTATTCTAGGACTCTTGTCCCTTATCTTTTATCCTCTTATCTCGGATTCCGATATCGTCGGAGATAATCTCGGCCTTGTCGAGATCACTTCGGCGTCACGACCAGGACACGTGGCACCTCGGCTGACACGTCGGCGTCACCCAGCCACGTGTTGGTATTCAGAAAATATATCCCCACAATAATGTATGTTACATAATTTTAAAATCATTAAAGACAAACAATAAATTTGATATAATATATATTTTATGTTAACCTAATTAATTAAAGGAAACATTTGAAAAAATAGCTTATAGTCAAAAAGAATTTCAAGAACCCTTCCACGCGTATGAGCTGTCATACACCATAATTCAACCGTTTTTAACCACGCATTTCTTTCTTACTGGTTCGTACCTGTGACGCGCCCATAAGCCGTCTCTTTCTCACGTGCGCCGTCTGACGTATACGTTCTTCTAGGTGTATTGATTATTTTTTGCTGCCGTTTTCATTTTTGACAAAACCTTTCCCCCTTTCTTCATTTTTCTACTTTTGCATCTGATTTCTCTTGCTTTTTCTCTCTCTAAACTCTTTCTTTCGAATTCGCCATTGCTCAAGCTCCAAGCTCTGCAATTGTCTTTCATTCTCCCTTCCTGTGAAGCTTTCGTCGTTCTCGTTACATTTGTAACTGTCGTCTGACTTCGGCAATCTTCATACTGACTTCACTCTTTTCTAGTAAGCTATTGTTCCTTTCGTTTTCAATTCTGTTGATATTCTTCATTACTTGTTGCCTTTACTGCATCTATTGAAACTTTTAATTTGCGATTCATACACCTGACTGTGTCCTTCCCATGATTTTGCCCTTGCCCATATCTTGAACACACGCATTGTTTCACTACTTCCCTGTATCTTTGTCACTAATCTTGGCCTTGTATTTCTTGTATTCTTTATGCTCTTGATAAACCATCTATGTTCTTGATTCTAAAATTCCATTCTTGCTTTCTGTTTTTTGTGTCTTTTCCAGATCCGTGCCTTTGATCCTCATCTCCATAGTTTTAGGTTTGGGATTTGTTTGTAGAACCCACGATTTAGGGCAAAACTGAAACATTCCTTACAAATTTCTGTACCAACCCAAACCTAGGTTTTTGCCGAGGTCCCATCAATAAGAAACATTTTCTTTCTAAATTTCAACCCCTCTAATTCAGGCCGATATCATGGGTATGTGGAGACATAGGGTAGATACCCCGACCAAACTTGAGTACTTTAGGCAAGAGTTCTCCATCCCTGCCGATGTCTATCTGAGGCTGGCTGGGGATGATGACTCCATCATGCCTACAGAAAACTCCATGCCCTTTCCCATTGTAGCTTTTATTGAGTGCGGACTCCGGCTCCTACTCAACATCCTTTTTCACGAGATTCTTCACTATTATAAGTTGAACCCCATGCAACTGGCAATCAAATCCTATCGAGTGATCTTTGGTGTCATAGCCTTAGCTAAACAGGAAAACGCTAGGATCACCCTAGCCGATATCCAGTATTGCTATACCATGTGTGCCCTTAATTTGAAAGAAAAAGGCTATATTTATTATCTTAAGCCGAGGTCTACAGAATTCAAAATCGTAGCCGACCTCCCAAACTCCAACAAGGGGGCTGGAGATGACTATCTCATTACCTCGGGAAATTGGGAGTTTGCTCTAGACAAGAACATCCATCTCTACCCTCTTCCCCGATCAGTTTTAGAGGGCAAAGGTAAGAGCCTAGTATTCAGCTTTGCCTGTTTTTTTTCAAAGTCTTAAATACTGTGTCTGTTTCTGACGTCTGTTCTTCTTGCAGCTGTTCGTCAGCTATCGAAAAATTTTCGCCAATCCTTTGTCCCTAGCAAGGACTTGAAGAAACTTCTGGACTTGCCAGTTCATAAAAGGAAAGCGCTTGTGCTTCTCAATTTCATTCCATCATACAAGTCAACTTTGCCCGACGTTCTCAAAAGGAAGAAGAAAAGCCTTTCTCCACCCTCTGCTACAACTCCGTTGACTGCATCTACATCACGAACAGATCAAGGATCAACATCTGATCCAGCTGATCAACCATCAACTTCGGCTCCATACCTGGTCCCAATATCAGAACGAAAACGTTGACGACAACTTGTCCTTACTACCGAGATGGGTCGCCCTAAGTCTGTTGCAAAAGATCTTTTGGCCAGTATTCCATCATCTGTTGATGAGCAGCCAATACAAACCCAACCTCCATCGAAGCCGAAAAGAATAAAGAAGGCTCAACCAAAGGCTAAGATAGCTCAGGTTGAATCTGAAGATACCTTGCCGATCTCAAAGTTGGCTGAGAGTGATAAATCTCAGCCTTCTGCTGGGAAGCGGCGCTCTGAGTCTCAACCACCAGAATCCCAAAAACCAAAAAAGCCGAGGTCTTCTTCTGCAACAACTTCGGGATCAAAAAAACCCGATGCCCCATGGGCCCCCACAATTACTCTGGAAGACAAGCCTGTCATGGCAAGTGATAGCGCCGATGATATAAACGTCGGCGTCGCACTCAGTACCACTCTGCTTCTTCCAGGCGATCTGGAGCGAAACGCCCAGTACAGTGAGTATGAGAACTACGCTTTAATGCTTCAGTACTTCGTTCAGGTAAATTTCTTCTATGTGGTAACTTTCTTCTTTCCTTCTCTTTAGTTCATCCTTTGAATATTCTCTGATACCTCTGTTTTCTTTCAGGCCATCCAGCATGCCCACTCTTTCTCAATGCAGTCTTTTGAGAATCGGGAGAGGCTTGTCGAGATGAAGAGGGAGTTCCCTTCCCTCCAAAAGACTAACAAAGGCTTACAAGCAAAGATGAAAAAAATGGAAGACCAAGCCGAGGCTGTGATCAAAGCTCAGAACAATGCCGAAGAGAAGGCTGAGGCTGCTGAGGCTATCAGAAAAGTGGATGAATCTCAAAAGAGAGAAGCTGAGGAAAGAATGGTCCAAGCCGAAAAGGAGCTTCAGGAAGCCCTGGCCACCAAGGACGCCGAAATAAAAGAAGCTGATGAAAAGGCGTATACTCCAGGCATGGCCGACGTTACTGAGGCCTATGAACTTCAAGTGAAGTAGGCATGCAAGAAGGGTTTCACCCTTGGTTGGATGTCTTTTCTGAAAAAACTCAATGTCCTAGAGGACTCACCGTTGAGGAAAGCCGATGCCATCCCTCTTTCATGCCCTCCAGCTCAACCTTCAAATCAAGACGTCGGTGAATCTGAGTCTGAGGATGGTGACGAGGAAGCCCAAAGATGTCGATGGGGCCAAGTCCCCTCTTCAAAATGAGCAAGTCCTAGACTTGACTCAAGCTGAAGATGGCGATGGAGTTGTCAAGGAAACTACCCCAGAGCAGGCATCCTCCGAAGTTCCTATAGCCGACAAAAGCATTGACGAAACCCTTGCCCAGATTGATGCTGAGATCACAGAGGAGAAGGCGGCCGATGTAGCTCTTTCAGAACCTTTCGAGGTCCAAACACAAGTTGCTGTTGATGCTGATGAAGCTTAATTTTCATATTTTTCATGTTTTGTCTTTTGTACTATTTTGTTTCCTTAGATAATGTAAGCTTTTTCATATGGCCGATGCTCTCCTGTTTCAACTGAATGCTTAACACAACTTTCCTTCAGTGAATGCTTATGTCTTTGTCTTCTTCTAACTGCTCTTGCATGATTATATACTTAGAATATTTTGCATGTCTGATGTACTCTTTCTTCTTTGTGCAATCTTCTCGGGATGACACACCTCGGATAGACAAATTTCTTGTAAACTTTTAACAGATGTTGAACATCATACTGGTTTAACTTAACTTATAAATTGTCCACAAATTTCAACAAGTGTTAAGTAATGATTTTGGCATAACTTCAACTTGTAAATTGTCCATCAATTTCAACAAGTGAAGATAATAATCTCGGCTTAACTTCAACTTGTAAATTGCTACAAATTTCAACAAGTGAAGATAAACAATAATCTCGACTTAACTTCAACTTGTAAATTGCTACAAATTTCAACAAGCGTTAAGCATTTGTATCTTCTCTCTGCCCCCAATGTGAACCTAAGTTTCACTTGGGTTCTCATTATTCAGAAACAACATTATGCATCTTTTATCAACTCACAAGTCTTCGAAAATTCTGCTAAGATTTTATTGATGACGTCGGCAAAAAGAAAAAAATAACAAGGAACAGCTAATGATAGAAAAATTTCAAATTACAAGTGTTCTAGGGTCTTGGCAATGCTTTGCCCTCATTATCTTCAAGCCGGTATGCTCCATTGCCTAATACCGAAGTAATTCTATAGGGTCCTTCCCAGTTTGGGCCAAGCTTGCCCTCTCTGGGATCCTTCTTGTTGCCAACAACTTTTCTTAGGACTAGGTCACCGACCTGAAAATCCCTTAGATTGACCCTCTTATTGTAAGCTCTAGCAAGCTGCTGTTGGTATGCTGCGAGCTGAATTGCAGCTTTCTCTCTTCGTTCTTCTAAGAGATCTAGATCTCGGGCTAGAAGTATGTCATTAGTCACATTCTCTACTCCCTAGGTTCTGATCCTTGGGATGCCGATCTCTAGTGGGATGAATGCTTCTGTGCCGTAAGCCATGGCAAAGGGGGTTTCCCTTGTTGATCTTCTCGACGTAGTCCGATATGCTCAGAGTACATTGGGCAACTCGTTTACCCACTTTCCTTTTGCTGCCTGCAGCCTCTTCTTTATCCCATCCAAAATTACTTTGTTGGATGTTTCTGCTTGCCCATTGCTTTGGGGAAAGCTTGGTGTTAAAAAGTAATTCTTTATCTTGAATTTTGCACAGAAGTTCTTGATAAGTTTGCTGTCAAACTGCGTTCCGTTGTCGGCAACTATTGCCCTTAGAATGCCAAATCTGGTGATGATGTTTCTCCATATGAAGTTCTTAACGTCCACATCTCGGATTTTGGCAAGAGGTTTTGCTTTTATCCACTTTGTGAAGTAATTTGTTGCTACCAGCAAGTACTTCCTTTGCCCAGTTGCTTAGGGCAACTGCCTAATGAGATCCATGCCCCATTGGGCAAATGGCCATGGACTGGATACAGAGTTCAGGTCAGCAGCTGGCTGGTGTATCAAAGGTGCGAACCTTTGGCATTGTTCACACTTCTTCACGTAGGCTTCTGCATCTTTTTGCATGTAGGGCCACCAATACCCCTAGGTAATGGCCTTGTGAGCTAGTGATCTGCCCCCAGCGTGGCTTCCACAAACCCCTTCATGAATTTCATATAGAAAATCTTCAACCTGCAAAGGGTGTATGCACCTTAAAAGGGGTCCAGTGAAGGACCTTCTGTAGAGATGTCCGTTCGCTGTCAGATTGAATCTTGCCGACTTCAATCTGACCTTGTGTGCTTCCTTATAGTCTTCTGGCAGCTTTCCCTCTTTTAGGAATGCAATAATCGCATCCATCCAGCTTGGTCCCAAGTCCATACACATTGCTTATTGTTCTGTGATTGGTGGTTCTGTGCTCGGGTTTGACAAATAGTCAACCATTATTGTCCTTATTTTTTTAGTTTGTATTGAACTTGCCAAGTTGGCCAATGCGTCGGCGTGGCTGTTATCATCTCGGCTAACATGCAGAAGTCGGCAGTTGCGAAACAAGGCTGCCAGCCTGATGACTTCCTTTGCGTATACCGACATCCTCTTATCTCGGGTTGCAAACTCTCCTGTTGTTTGATTTACTATAAGTTGTGAATCACAAAAAATTATTACCTCATCTGCTTCTGCTGCCACTGCTAGCTTCAGTCCTACAATCAGTGCTTCGTATTCTGCCTCATTGTTTGAGGCCTTGAACCCCAATCGAATAGACTGTTCCAATATCTCCCCATCAGGAGATATTAACACTACTCCTACCCCCGCTCTTTGCCGGTTTGAGCTCCCATCGACAAACAGGCGAAAGGAGTCGCCGATGTAAATGCTGCAGGATCTGAGTTTTTCCTTTCTTTGTTCTTTTGCCTTTGGCTAGGCTTGTGAATTCGGCCACGAAGTCGACCAAAACTTGGCCCTTAATTGCTGTTCTCGGCCTGAACTCCAGGTCGTACTGGCCCAAGGCCACTGCCCATCTTGCTATTCTTCCAGTTAAGTCTCCTTGTTGTAACAAGGACTTCAGTGGGTGCTCTGTTAGCACTATAATCTTGTGCGCTTGAAAGTAATGGTTCAGCTTCTTTGAAGCCATTACTAAAGCCAGCATTAATTTTTCTAGTGGTAGGTACCTTGTTTCTGCATCAGCCAAGGTTTTGCTTACATAATAAACAACCTTTTGCTCTCCCTTTTCCTCTCGGATTAGCACTGCACTTACTGCGTGTTCTAAAACTGCCAAATACAAAAACAGTTCTTCTCCAGGTTCAGGTGTTGAGAGGACTGGAGCCGTGGTCAGATACTTTTTTAGGTCGGCCAAAACGGCCTCACATTCTTCAGTCCATAGGAAGTCCGTAGCCTTTTTCACCAGGTTGAAGAAAGGTTTACATTTGTCTGAGCTTCTACTGATGAATCTGTTTAGGGCTGCGGCCCTTCCAGTTAGTATCTGCACCTGTTTTGCTGACATCGGGCTCTTCAACTCTAGGATGGCCTTGATTTGATCTGGGCTGGCCTCAATGCCCTTTCTTGTTACCAGGTACCCCAGAAACTTACCTGATCCAACTCCAAATGCGCACTTCGATGTGTTGAGTCGGAGCCGGTATGTTTTGAGTATATCAAAGACCTCTTTTAGGTCAGCAAGATGACCCTGAGGTTCCTTGGTCTTCACGACCATGTCATCGATGTAGACCTCTACTGTTTGGCCAATCAGGTGTTTGAACATTTTGGTTACCAGCCTTTGGTAAGTTGCTCCTGCATTTTTTAACCCGAAAGGCATTACTCTATAACAGTACAGGCCATTTGGGGTGATGAATGCGATTTTTTCTTCGTCTGGGGGGTACATGCCGATCTGGTGGTACCTCCTGTAGGCGTCTAAAAAATTCATTCTTCCATGCCCTGAAGTGGCATTTACTGGCTAGTTAATTTTGGGTAGGGGAAAGCTGTCTTTGGGACAGGCTTTGTTGAGGCTGGTAAAGTTTACACAAACCCTCCATTTACCGTTCTTCTTCTTTACCACCATTGTATTGGATAGCCATGTTGGGGAGTGTACTTCTCTAATGGCCCTGGCCTCTTGAAGTCTGTCTACTTCTTCTTCTACTACTTCGACGTGTACCAGCGTCGGTCTTCTGGCTCACTGAATTATGGGTTTGGCCGATCTGTCGACATTCAGTTTGTTGGCAAGTGACCTCGGGGTCAATGCCAGGCATTTCGTAAGGTGTCCAAGCGAACACCTCAATATTTGCTCTCAAAAAAGTTTCCAACTCTTTTTCCTATTCTTTGGCTAAGCCCGAGCCGAGAAAAAAGAAACGCTCTTCATCCCTATCCTAGACGAGGATTTTCTTTAGTGCCTCTTCGCTCTTCTCGGCTGATTCTTTGCTGACGTTTTCTAGGACTTCCACGCCCTCATCTTCAATTTCTGCCTTCTCTGGCTCTCGCATGCTGTAGGTAGATTTCATTGCTGTCATAGAGCAATTCTTCGCTTGTAGCTGATCGCCTCTAACTTCCTCTATCCCATGCTCTGTTGGGAATCGCAATAGTTGATGCAATGTTGAGGGAACTACCCCCATTGCATGCAACCATGGCCTTCCCAAGATGATGTTGTATGGTGAGGGCGTGTCGATTACCATGAATTCTGTCCTGATCTTAGTGCTGGCTTGTACTTCCAAGCTTGTTGCGCCCAGTGGCCATGTCGGCGTCCCATTGAAGCCGACCATCGGGCCATTGGATTGCTCCAAGTCATCAGGATGAAGGCCCAGCTCTTTCTAACATCTAACATATATGATGTCGCAAGAGCTACCTTGATCAATTAGGATGCGTTTTACTTGGCACTCCCCAACCTGGAGGGATACTACCAAGGCATCATTATGTGGATGTTGGACCATCTCTAGGTCAGCTTCAGTAAAGGCTATCGTCGATCCCTGGCATTTTTCAGGCCGAGGTCTTTTATGTCTGACCTAGTTTACGTGCTGTAGGTGTTTTACCTTCTGAGGCTCCCCTCGTATGTCGTTTTCGTTCACTTTTGAGTGAATTACATTAACCATCCGTGGTCCCCCTGCCTATGGTTGCTGTGCTGGGGCAGGCGGAGCTGCTGGTGCTTGAGGCACTCTTGCCTGTTCTTCTCTTGTCCTGGCCTCATCGACAAGGTCCCTCAGATGGCCTTGCCTCACCAAGTCTTCTAGGTGTGCTTTTAGGGCTCTACAACCTTGAGTTGGGTGCCCTTCTTCATTGTGGTAAGCACAACGCCTACCGATGTTTCTTCTCATAAATTCCCCTGGTGTTCTTGTCGGTCCTCTAAAATAGGGTTGGTTTCGAATTTGATCCAGGACTTTGTGAATCAGGACTCGGAATACAGTCGTCACTGCCTGTTTAGCCCTCAATTCCGTTTCTTGTTTGATCGGTCCATTGTTACCTCAGCTTCGCTTCGGCGAGCCGTTTCCTTTCTCCTGCTTTGTCTCTTTGTTTCCCGATGTATGCTCCTCGGCTCTGGCGTACTTCTCAATTCTCGCCATGAGTTCTTCCATGCTTTTTGGCAATGTTTTTGCCAAAGACTTCCGTAGTGGGTAGTCATCTTTCAAGCCGTTCTTGAAAGACACGACCGCCACCTCTTGGTTGCA